TTTCTTTCTTTCTTTCTTTCTTTCTTTCTTTCTTTCTTTCTTTCTTTTTCTTTCTTTCTTTTTCTTTCTTTCCTTTCTTTCTTTCTTCCTTTCCTTTCTTTTTCTTTTTTTCTTTCTCTTCCTTTCCTTTCTTTTTTTCTTTCTCTTCCTTTCCTTTCCTTTCCTTTCTTTTTCTTTTTCTTTTTTTCTTTTCCTTCCTTCCTTCCTTCCTTCCTTCCTTCCTTCCTTCCTTCCTTCCTTCCTTCCTTCCTTCCTTCCTTCCTTCCTTCCTTTCCTGGCTTCCTCCTGCAGCCCACCATTACAGCCAACTCCTTTCCAGGATGAGGAACAAACCTGGGGCCATGGCAAGATTTCCCTTTCTGCCCTGTCAATCAGTGAATCAATCCCAGAGATTGCTTCCCATCAAAGTGCAGCTTTATCCCGATCCAATTAACCCGGAAAAGGGGTTTAAGTGCAGGTGGGAACAGAGAGCATTAGAATTTACTTGGGTGGGAAGGAGGCTGAACCACTCTCGCCTTCCCTGGGTTGGTTCAACCGCCCCTCCCACCGACAATCAAGCATCAAACAGGGTTTTCCAGCCCGAGAAATGCAGTGCCTTTGACGGGGGTTTGTATCTAGCTAACCGTTAAGAGAGCTGGGGAAACATGGACGCTTTGAGATCACTTAGAGCAGGACTGGGCCAATGGAGCCCTCCTTCTGAGCCTTATCTCCCCGTCCCAGTGACGGGAAGGATGCTTGGGAATGCTAGTTCAACGTCTGAAAGGCCACTCCTATAAAAGGAGTTTTAAGAACCCGAAGCGCGCCCCACCAAATCTCACGGCTAGATCCTCTTGCCAAATTCTACAGGAGGAGGCGGTGCTCATAAGCCCTGGGAACAATCTGAAGGCTGGAAGCTTAGCTAACCTCTTTATGACTCTTTGTCAAGGATAGGTTTGGAGGTTTGGGAAAGGATCCTGGGATGATCCACGTGCTGGTTACTCGACAGTTGCATCATTGCCGGAAAACACGCAATCTTTGGAGCAGGAAGGGAAAAAAAAAAAAGCAATTAGGACAATCCATTGATTAGCACTGACAATGTACATCGGAAATGCCTTTTCCGCTCTCCTCATCCTCATCCTTTTCTTGTCTCCTAACACTTCTTCACGCATCTCTAACCTTCCTCCTTCGTCCTTGGCAGTGCACTTATAAGTCTTTAGGGCTCCACTCTCACAGCCTCCTACACAAGGGCATTAGCTCTGTTCTGAAAGATCAATCAAACAAGACAATCAACAACCTCTTTCCTTGACAGCTGAATTATTGGGCATGCTCTGTTCCGAGCGACAAAAACCATGCCACTCAAGCAGCAGACGGCTACGCCAAGGGACGAAAAGACAGACTTCCTGTGTTATGGGCCCAAAAAAGCAAAACAAAACAGGAAACCACCGGTGACTTGACAATTTCATTTCCTTATAGATCTGGTAACCCATCTCAATACTTCTGGTCGATCCTTGCAACTTTAGGCAGGTAGCACATCGAGGAGGCTGGGGCACCAACTGCTAAAGCTACATTTCCGCTTTCAAGGAGTCCACACATACTCCTTTTAAAGCCAGGGCAGTATTGAAAACCAGTATTCCTTCCTTTGCAACCGTCCTGCTCTTAGTTCTTGCTGCCGCTTCGTTCTGTTGTAAAAGTGAGCTTAGGCTCACCCCTAACAATTGGAGCTGTTGGTTTCAGTGGACTCTTGAGCAGCCCTTCTTCCCCTCCTGGTTTCGGCCTGAATCTCTGCCTGAGATTATTATTATTATTTTTCCCTGCCACTTCCACACCATTACAAAACACTGCAATTGGGCACAGATTTAAGGCTGTCGCTGTACTTCTAATACTAAGACAATCCAACGACGTTTGTTTATGTGTGTGTTTTCAAAAGTGGGATTATTATTATTTTTGTCACAGTGTTTTGGGAGGATTCCCTGTTGTATTTCTTTCTTGATACCAATGTATTTAAGGTATGTTCTTTTTATACATTTTTTACCTCGGGTCTGTTTAAATTACAAGTGCTTGTATTTTGGGGTGCCTTAGAAGAAGGTTGCTCCTAGATCCTGGATGTATTCTGCAATGAATCCTGTCCTTACCGCTTGCGATGCTCTGCTTCAAATAAAAATCTCTACTGCGGCTTGAAGCGGATGTGTTTTCTGGAGTTCTGACAGCAGGAAACAAATTATTTGGATTCTTCTTCTTTATTGTCATTGTACATATATACACAGTATACACATACAATGAAATTAACACGCAGAGACCAGACCCAACACACACACGACAATCCCCAAACACGCCCCCACCCGCCAAAATTCCCCACCCCCTAAAAAACACACAAGCATCCACACAACAGACCAAGCAATACTTTCCAACAGCTCACTGATAGTGGACCTTAAGTTCATTGTTAAGTGCCATTATAGATCTGGGATAAAAACTGCTCAGAAAACAGAGCCTTCGGAGTTTGGTAGCAGTGAGGCAGAGGAATGAGGGGAGCCTGTTCCCAGTGCGCGTATGCGCAGAGCTGCTAGAAGGCAAAAGCAGCTGAAACAGAAGGGGCGACTCGGGAGTAAGGCTAGGAGGTGATTGCCCCTCCCATAAGGGATAAAAGTCAGATCTCCATGAAGAGCAGCTTTGCAGGAAGCAAAGCAGTTCAATTAGATTCCGAGTCCTTCTTGAAGTTCTGTACTCTGGTCAGTTTTTTCTGATACTTCGGGTGAGTTCTGTTCTAATTACTTTGGAGACTTCTGTTCTTGGCAGCGTTCCCCAGCACTTGCAAGCGTGGGCTTATCTTGGGGAACTGTGTATAATGAGTTCTGGCTGGGAATGAAAGTCATTCCCAGCGTTGCATTAAAATAGGTTTTCCTTTTCAAACCAGCTTGAGTTTCAGTACGTTTGACGAAGCCTGGGTCAGAACATTCGTTTTCATCCCACTCCGGATAGCCAGGAGCAACACTGTGGGGTCCTTGCAAATACATCACTGCATTGATGATGCCTCCAAACTGCCATTTTTGCCTTGGCTGTTGCTACATTTTGCTCAGTTGACGGACTTCTGCATAAAAGTTTTTATCTATCAGAGTTTTGATGGTAGGTTGATGAAGAAAAAGCTACCTGACTCTCTAGTCACCTGATTTAAATCTCTAGGAAGCAGTGGTGGGATTAAATTTTTTTTTTTACTACTGGTTCTGTGGGTGTGGCTTGGTGGGTATGGCTTGGTGGGCATGGCAGGGGAAGGATACTGCAAAATCTCCATTCTCTCCCCATCCCACTAACCTGCTTTCCAGCTCTGTTCTCCCGTGCAGGGCAACAAAAGAAGTTCCAGTCAATCAACTGGGACTCGGGAGGCAGAGAAGAGATGGGGTTGGCGGGGCCAGTCAGAGGTGGTATTCTGAACTACTCAAAATTTCCACTACTGGTTCTCCAGAACTGTTCAGAACCTGCTGAATTACCACCTCTGCTAGGAGGCCAGAGGGACCGAGGGAAATGCCAAAGACTTACTCTAAATCTAAAGCTAGGGATTCCTAGAATTACCACTTGAGGTGTTCAAAGCATTTAAACCATGGTGGAGTTGCGAGTAACTGGGAGTAACTCTTTAGCTAGACAGCAGAGGTCTCGCTACACCTCGACAGACATGGGGTTTTATCTTCAGCAAAGTCAATGATGCAAAAATAGCTAAAAAGCAAAGACAGCTTTTGAGAATTGATTCCAAGCATCAAGAGGGACTATCCATGTAGTTTTCCAGGCGAGAATATGAAAAGTGGGTGGGTTTTTCTGGCCAATTTCCCAGGCTCGTCTATTAGATGTGGGTTTTCGTGGTGGTTTGTTCTGTCTAATTACACACACCAAGGCTGGCCTGCTTTAGCTAGGAGGCTGTGCTGTCTTGAAATAAGACTTCAAATTTCTGCAATGCTCCTTTTTGCTTTAAATCAAGGACGTCCAACCTCGGTGACTTTTAAGATTTGCAGACTTCAACTTCCAGGGAATTCTGGGAATTGAAGTCCACAAGTCTCAAAGACACCCCTGGCTCTATGGCCTTGTGGTATACCTGTATGTTGATGTATATGGACACTTTGAGTACTGATCCATTCCGTTCCAATATTTCTGAAGCACGGTGAAAGTTGAAATGCGCATAGCATCAGCTACATCCTGAGGTGGGTGGGTGAAGAGTTAAGACAGTCTTCCCAGAGAAGAGAAAACAGCAGGTAAGAGTTGCGTGCCGATCACAGAACAAGCCAATAAAAGACAGAGACAACAGAAATATAGATATATAATATCTCGGAATAAAATGTTGCCACCACCAATGAAGAAAAATCACGAAAGTGCATTTGTCACATAAAAGTAAAAGCTTCTTTTAGAATTTAAAATAGCATTTACACATAAGCAGCTATATATTAACTATACAGACAACTGGAGTTTTTCATACAATATCTACAAAGAAGCCCTCCCCCAAATTCAGGAAAAGGAAGATGATATTAGAAATAAGGGGAGAGGGCCATTCACACATCATCGAGAACACAATCTTGGGTATGACCCCAATGCTAAGATATTTTAGACAGTTGCTGGGCAGGGATTTCATTTCCTGCCTTTAATTTCATTTACTTCTGTTTTTCCTCTACTGTACATAAAATGCTGTATGCGTCATTCTAATCCCTGATTAGAATTAAGATGTTCCTTTGACATTATACCTTACATTATTCCAGTAAAATGCAACTTTAAAAGGGGAAGAAGCAGCTAACTCAAAATATCAAAATTCAATGTTTTCTCCAGGCCCAAAACAGTCTTGTTAGTTGGCAACAGGAAGGATGAACTGGGAAAGCAGACAGAAGGCTACACGTCCACAAAACATGGCTGGCTTATTCCATCGCAGCCAAGTGTAAAACTTTGGGGAGTTAGGGATCCCTTTGAAGCGGAAAAGGAGAAAGTCAAGAGATTTTAAAGGCCTAAATGCATCTTTCCCAAACCATGTCTCAATCAATCCGCCGAAACATGCTTGCTTCAGTGAATTCACGAGGATTAGCTTCTCTGCATGAGTATATTGGGTCACGCTGGCCAGCAAGATAAAATCAGCCATGTGTGTGTGGTCTATGTGAAGAAGCAACTTGGGTCAGTAGTTGGGAACAGACTCCCTAGCTACCTTGAAGGATTTCCTTTAATTACCAGATCTGGAAAAACCAAGTCACTCCGAGTGGCTTGGAGATTCAGAGAGATTCCATTGCCTGCCCTTGATATAGAGGTGTGGTTGAAGATCTGCCAGGTTGGTGCCCGCTAATTCCCATCATCCACATCCAGGGACAGGGACACCAAGAGGAAGACTCTGCAACATTCACAGAGGACAGAAGCTGCCTTGTGATTGCACTTGCATCACACTCCCATATTCAATGGTCAAAGTTGGAGGGAGGCACGGAATGGAGCCCCTTGGGGGAAGGGCACAGAGGGCTGGCTGGCATCTGAAATTGTGTACCAAGACTCATTGAATTTTCCTCAAATCATCCTGGGAGTTTGTTTTTTTCTCCCTCTCTGCCTTTTCACCGTTTCCCCCTGAAGACCAAAAATGTGCAGGTGATAATGTCAGCCCCTGAAGGTGATAATTCCTTCCCCCTTCCTACACAATCGCTCTTCTTTCCTTGCTACTTCGATTGGCCTTTCAGAAAACCAGGATCTGTACAATCTCCCCTTCAGTGAAATGTTCTTAATTCAGAGCAAAAGGGAAGGAGGCAGACCAGTAGCATAAAGAAACTGCAAAAAAATATCCAGCCATGATAAACCAAAGCATCGAAGTGTAAAATTGGGGAAAGGCAGAATTTTCTTAATATCAACAAAACCCTGCATTTTCTTGCCGCCCAGCTTGAAAACCTGGGCAATGTGTGTGTGTTTGTGTCGATGCTTGAGCTGTTTACAATGCGCAACATGGGTGTCAAAGGAAAGGATTTCACTTGGGCCAAATCTTCTCTGGAAACAGGAGCCCTCTCCTCCAAGAGATGCTTTTCCAAGGACAGCTGGACCAATGGCTAGCATTATTTTCCCCTAAAATAACAGAGTTGGACCAACATCTTGCTCAAGTAGGAAACTCTATAACATTTCAGACCGATGGTTGACCAATCTCTTCTTAAAAACTTCTACTCAAAGTGGATTATGCCATCAGAAGGCTGGTCCAGTCTCCAAGAGGAAAGGGAAATTGTGGTGAAAGAGACACAATGCCAGATTTAGTGTGCATGAGGCCAACAAAGGCAGCAATCCTGCCTGGAGCAAGGAGAGGGATGGATGGAACAACACTTGGCAATCATTGCCCGGAGTGCCTACTGAAGCCCTTACAACAACAATAACAACCAGAATCTCCTTTCAAGGTATAGTAAAATAGTCAATCCAAAAGTTCATGGTTTTCAGAGGAGAAATTTAACCTGTCGAAGTTTCTCACAAAATGATTTTCCCTTCTTAAGGGGGAAGGCTCGGCAGGGACAAAGAAAACCCTGAATGAAAAACAACCCAAAGGAAAGAGGAAACAAACCCACAGAGGGATCTTCGCCCATCGTTGCAACGGAGTTCAAAAAAAATGAACCCAGACACCCACAATTTCATCACACACACCCCAGTTAGTTGTGTCGTCTTTATCAAAGCGAATCCTCCTCATTGGAACTTTTTATTTCCCCCAGAAATGAAAGGAAGGAACCAGAAGATAGGTAGGTAGGTAGGTAGATAGGTAGATAGATAGATAGATAGAAAGATAGATAGATAGATAGATAGATAGATAGATAGATAGATAGATAGATAGATAGATAGATAGATAGAAGAGAGAGAGAGGGAGAGAGGGAGAGAGAGGGAGGGAGAGAGAGAGAGAGAGAGAGAGAGAGAGAATATGGTGCAAAATATGCAGGACTGGAAAATTGCCGTTTGCTGCTTTTGTATTAGTTTTTGTTTTTTAAACTATTATATCAAATACGATCCCTTGGTTAATAAGCCAAGGAGAACACAGTAAAATTGCACTGAGAAAAGGTGCCACGCATAACAAAGTTCATTTAAGAGATATCTTGGCGAGGACATCTATCAATCACATTACCAAAAAAAAAAAAAAAAAGGGAAGGGGGGGGGGGGGGGGGGGGGGGAAGACAAAAATATGCCTGGAATCGTTCTTCCCCGTTGGCTGGAAAAACACAACCAAGAATCAGAAGGGTGTGACATGCAAAAGATTGTCAAGGGGGGGGGGGGGGGAGTGGGGGGGGGGTGTGGGTGTGGGGGGGGGGGCGCTCTCTTTTCCCGTTGCTTTGAAAGACCAAAACAAAAAAAGAAAAAAGAAAAGAAAAACATAGGTCAACAGAATAGGAATCCTCCTGCACGGACTCTCTAGGAAGGCACTTCTGTTTACATGATGTCCACGAAGAATTCGCACGGGTTGCCCATGGCTTTCTGGAAGGACTGGCGGCTCCCGGTCAGTTCGGGAGGGATGGCGCTAAGTTCCCGGACGGGAGGCCCTCCGGGCGGCCCGCTGATGGCGTAGAGTTTGCCTCCCAGCTTGGGGAAGGGCCCCAGAGAAGGCAGCCCACCCGGCGGGCCGTAAGAGTGGTGGCTGCGAGGACTTCTCTGGCTGAGGGTGGCCGAGACGTGGCTGCGGTGGCTCAGCTGGCTGGGGGGCCGCTCGTGCCGCAGGATGCTCCCCCCACCCCAGGTGACCGGGTCCGAGCCGCTGCTGCTACCGCCACCGCCGGCTGACTTGTGGTCCTTCTCCCGACGCCGGCTTTTCTCGCTGTTGCTTCGGTTCGAGCCGCTACTTTTGCTTCCTGGAAGGGAGGAGGGGGACAAGGAGGAGGAGGAGAGGGAACTGGATTAGCGCCACACACACCCCCGGGAGAAAGAAGGCGGCTGGCATTTCGGTGGCCCGTCAGATGACGGGAGCCGCTCCAAAAAAAGGTCCTGGGCGTGATGAAGCAAGAGCCACGCGGGATGAAGGCGGATGGGATGGAAGATGGATGTGGAAACATGCGGAAAGGCTCAAGCGAAGCAAAGCGGGAGCGTGATGGCGATGTTGCGTTTGAAGGGGTGAAGCAAAGCAGGAGAGAAGAGACACTCCGGAAACTGAATGTCGGGATAAGGCACTGCGCAAATAGGGAGTCCCTGGGCTCCGAAATCCCAGATTTGAGGAGTTTAGATTTACAGAGGCGATGCAGGAACACAATGGAGTGGTGTGGTGGCCTAGAGGTGGAGCTCTCGCCCTCACAATCTGGAGGCTGTGAGTTCGATCCTAGGTAGAGGCAGGTAAATTTCTCTCTCTGGGCACAATGAGAATATATCTGCCAAATATAACTCAGCACTGGTGACAGGGAAGGGCATCCGGCCAGTAAACACTCAGCTCCATTCAAATTTGGGAGGGTCCATTGTGGAATGGAAATGAGTGGTGCGGTGGCCTAGAGGTGGAGCTCTCGCCTCACAATCAGGAGGCTGTTGAGTTCAATCTTAGGTAGAGGCAGGTAAATTTCTCTCTCCGGGCACAATGAGAATATTATCTGCTGAACAAAACTCCTCACTGGCGACAGGGAAGGGCATCCAGCCAGGAAACACTCTGCTAGCTCCATTCAGTTGCCCAGGCTTCACCCCGTAAGGGATTATTAAAAGAGGATGATGACCCTGTAACACAATATTGTAGTGGGACTACCTTCCAGCTTTTTTCAGCCCTTGCTAGAAAAATGTCCTTTTTTTTTTTTTTTCAATAGCCACTCTGCCCCCACAAGCTTGAGGGTGAAGTTGTCTCTCCCAGAGATTTTGTCCCCTTTGTTTTCAAAAAACCGATGCTTTTATATATGTTTGGGCCTGTCTCAAGGAGGTCAGTGCCCCCCTGTGCTTCTTAGTTGCCTTTTTGGGGGGCTACAAGGCCGGTTGGCACCCGTCATGGAAGTTGAGGGTGAGGAGGACTCGACTGACACACAACGCAACTGACCGAGAAATGGTTCCCACTGAACCAGCTGCTTTCAACCATCAACCTTAGCCAGGAGAACTGGAGCAGGGAGATCTGAACTAAGAGAAAATGTTCCCCAAAGATGCAAAATTAGTAGGCGGGCTGAGAATAGATAAAACCTCTTAGGGTTATGAAGGAAAGTCCTTGGGCTCCTATGCTCAGAGAATCGGGGGACGGACAATGAAGGGTGGGGGGGTGGACTAGCTTTTTGAGTGGGTTGTGAGAGGATTCCTAAACAGACTTTCTAGCAGAAAAGTGACTTTCCTGGATATGTCTCCCTCAAGAAAGCAACTAGAGACACCCAACGGCAGCAAAATATGAGAGCTCCAGAGCTAGCTTGCAATCCTTGCTTGCCCGGCAGGCTAGCTTTGCTGTCGAAATCTCCTCTTTCGGAGGGCAGGACTTTCCATGGTGCTGAAATGCCCACAAAAGGTCTGGGTGAGATTTTTAAAATGGTCCAGACTAGAGACTTTAGGATAAACTCTAGCTGTAACCAAGATCAGGGTCTGCCTCCCTGGGAATTCTGCAAGCGGGGTGGGTGATGGGGTGGGGTTGTTGCGGAAAGTGTTTTGTTTTCGTTTTTTAAAAATAAAGGACTTCGATGAGGAAGTGGGGAGGAACACGTTTAAAATCCCAGAGGAGGGTAGAAAGAAAAGACATGAGAATCTATATGGGCTGAAAATGAGCTTCGGAAGGGAGGGAAAAAAAATATGCTTACCAATCCTTCATGAATCCTTCAATCTAAGGCTTGCTCAGGGTAAAACAAGGAAAGAGCAATTACCGAAAGCAACGTTCCTTACCCAAGAAGAACGTCACAACAGCAACACTTAAAACAACAAACACACGTTGGCCGGAAGAGCTACTTGAGAAAACTCTGGCCCTCTTGGCACAAACACACTCACGAGACAACCACATACAAGTACTCCTTGACTTACAACCACAGTTAAGCCCAAAATTTCTGTCCTTAAGCGAGTTTCGCCTCCATTTTATGACCTTTCCCTGCCATATCCGGCTGGAGAATTCTGGGAGTTGAAGTCCACCAGTCTTAAAGTTGCCAAGTTTGGAGACCTCTGGGTTAAGTGAATCACTGCAGTTGTTAAGTAACATGGTTTGTTCAGTGAATCTGGCTTCCCCATTGACTTGGCTTGTCCGAAGGTCGCACAAGGGGATCACGTAACACACACATACACACACCCGGGACTCTTGCAACTGTCACAAATATGAGTCAGCTGCCAGGCATCTGAATTTCGACCAGGGGTTGGTGGAGATGCCACAACGGTTGTAAGTCATGTCACGTTTTTTCAGGGCCATTTGAACGGTGACTGAATGAACTGTTGTAAGTCAAGGTTCACCTATACTTTTGCTGGCAAACTGGGAACTCAGCAAGAACCAGCACTGAGCTCAGAACGGTTGTGAACGCAGAAACAAGTGTTGTGGGTGGGAACAACGCTCCTGCTGTGAAACTTGCTGGCTGAATGAACCCCAACTTTTCTAACATGTGCAGTGTGCAGTGAATCGCAATAGGCAATGCGTGTCATGCCCCTGTTGGAGACTGACTCTGAGGGAGAGGAGGAACAGCCGACAGGGATTGGAAGTGTGGCTCCGGAGGTTGTGGAGGAGGTTGGGGAATGGCAGAGGCCGACTGGGCAGTCAGAGGAAGACCAGGCCCATCCCCTCTCCATCCTAGAGCACGCAGGGAGGAGAGGATAAGGGAGAGATGTGAATGGCATGGTCTACGGGGGAGGACATGGCCCTGATCCCCTTCATGGGCTGCAGCTGTGAGAACTGGTACGGGGGAGGACATGGCCCTGATCCCCTTCATGGGCTGCAGCTGTGAGAACTGGTTAAAAGGACGGACCTGCATATGGGCCAGTGCTGGAAACAAAGCGTGGAAATATCTCTAGTCTGTCGTTCCTCTCTGAGTTTGCCATCCTTCCCAGGGTGTGTTCCGATATCTTTGGATGTCTTCAAGCCCCCATCTTACCTGGTTCCCTTAGTTGCTTCAGTGTGGTTTGTGTTGTTTTTACTCTTTATAATTTATAGGCATTTTTAGTTTAAACGGCATTTCCTCTTTTTTGTAACTGCTTGTGGGGGGAGTTTTTTTTGTCTCCAGTCAAGGATAGTTGGAGCTTTGAAGCAAAGTGAAGGGATAAAAGGGGCTTCACCTGTTTTCATGACTTGTGTTTATTTTGTATCCCACCCTGGGTCATCACAATATGGGAGGCCACCACAATCTTGAAGATCCCCAACGTACGTGGTCAGCACAGTTTGCAGCTGCAGCCAGACCTTTTCCCGGCCAGGTTAAAGGAACCTGTGTGAATCCATGCAGGCAGCTCAGCTGAACTTTGTTCCTCTCAACTAAAAAAATACTTCTTTGGTCTTTTTAGTTGCCAGCAGAAAGGGAATGGGGGAAAGTAGTAAATTCCGTAAATGCTTCAGATAACTGCTAGGCAGCCGAAGCTGTTGGCGCGCAAGATTATTACTGGAGAGCATGATTGGTGACTCTTGGCTATGGATGCATCTCATTGGAGAATATACATCCAGGGGGTATATTTTTTTAAAAAACTCTTAGATGCAGCTAGAGACTTATGATTTGAATGGGGGTGTATTGTCAGAGCCCTGACAGTTCCCCTACCTGATGGCAGTAGCTGGGACTCCATGCAAGATGGACGCAAGGGTCCATGAGAAGAGTCAGGCAAAGCGAGCGTGGGGGTGGGGGGAGGGGAGAGGAAGGAGTACGCGGAAGGGCCAGGGGAGCAGGAAGGCAGAAGCTTGCATCTGAGGGCCTACCTTCGCTGTGCTGGCTTCCCGCGCTGCCGCTGCCGTAGCTGAAGCCAGGGTCCTGGTAGGCTGGCGGGAAACACGGAGGGGCGAGGGGATACTGGTAAGGATAACCTTGCCCCAGCGGCCAAGGCGTGGAGGGGTGCGGTAGAGGGGCCAGGGTGTCTTGATCAGAAGCCCCGCTGGAACCGTTGTTGAGGTTCATTGCAGCCATATCTGGGAGAGAGAGAGAGAGAGAGGGAGGGAGGGAAGGAGGGGGAGAGAGAAAGAGAGAGAGAGAGAGAGAAGGAGAAGAACAGCTCCATAAGCAAAGGGCTCATCAAATACACTCCTGCCTGAGAACAAGCGGTTTTTGTTCAAAAAGGCATCTCTGATCTCTCATAATCCACCACCAAACTCAGGGCGTTATAAAATTTCATTTTAATTTTTTAGATTATTTTTTTTTTAATCCCACTGTTACTCTTTTTAAAAATAACTCGAGATGGCAAATGCACTTCATATCCTCATATTCTTCCTCCTCTTGTTTCCCCACAAGGACGACAACCCTGTGAGGTGGATTGGGCTGAAAGAGAAGGACTGGCCCAAAGTCACCCAGCTGGCTTTCCTGCCTAAAAGCGGGACTATAACTCACACTCTCCTGGTTTCTACCAGGTGCCTTAACCACTAGACCAAAACTGGCTCTCTTTGCTCAATGAAAGTAGTCTTTTCAACAGAAATGCTAATATCTGTTAAGTTGGCAAGTCTGATTCTTGGGAGGTGGTGTGGAAGCAGCTTGCCACTCTCTTTTGGGGAATGTTTTTTTTTTTAATTTCCCAAACTACACCCTTGGGATTTCCTGGTGGTCTCCCATCCCAGAACAAACCAGTTTTTTCATGATTAGTCGAGGTCAGCTGGCTGCTTGTCAGCTACCGAAACATGAATGGGAAAGAGGCACTTGTTATGTTTTACAAATAGAGACACTTTAGGGGAAGTTGGTAGTTTAAGGGCTTGGTTTAATTTCGAGTAAAGTTCCCCTTTCGTAGTTGTGTATGCAGAGACACAGGCATGAATCCATACAGGCCAAAAACAGAACGCGCCAGCCTAAATAAGCAAAGGTAAAAGTAACTAGAAGAGCAGCTGCAACAGAGTTTACTTACTGCCACAAAGATCTCCAAACACATAATAGCACTGTTCTGAGAAAGTAATCTTATTCACAGTGTGTCTGAGGTAGCCATGCTTCAACATGCTGCTGGCGTATTTCCGGGCTTCTCGGCGGTCTTTGAAATCTTCCACGTGGGTGTAAAGCCAGTCAACGACATCGGCTCCTGCAAAGAAGAAGCAGGAAGACATGGCAGATATGATTATTTATTTTTTCTTTCCTTCCTTCCTTCCTTCCTTCCTTCCTTCCTTCCTTCCTTCCTTCCTTCCTTC